CAGCGCCTTGCCAAAAATTAGTAGATAGTATTTCAAAAGGCTCAAGACTAATTCGTGGCTTGGCTTGGCAAGAAGTTAAGAGGAAGGTAGCTACAATTATATGAATACTGCATGGGGGAGCGGGCAATAGCAAAAAATATTGCCCGATGTGACGTCACTGTCGCCCGAGGGTGAAGACCGAAACAAGTGCTATTGCCCGAGGCAAAGCCGAGGGCAATAGCACTTGTGGAGGTCTTCACCCGAGGGCGACAGTGACGTTACAGAGGGCAATATTTTTGCTATTGCCCGCTCCCCCATGCAGTATTCGTTTTATTACATGGCCAACTCTCGAAATCTTTACTTAGTACTCATTCATCCCGTAATAAAAAAAATATCCAAACACAGATATCATGGTACAATTGAATGTATTGGATATACAATCATAGCCACGTCACATGTCTACGGCACACACTTAATTGTTTCTGTTTTCTCTTTTCTGTTTTCTGTTTCTGTTTTCTGTTTCACGCCGTACTTGAGAGTGTGGAGACTCTTCGATTCGTAGCGTTCACCGTCCTTGCGTTTTACAGTAATGAAGAACTCCCTCACAGCGTTGTCCACTTCCAGGACATCGTTGCTGTGCATGCAGCTTTCAACAGATATGCCTTTTACTTGCAAGAACTCAATGAAGACGTCTTCTGCTGATTTAATCACCTTTTTAGTGCCCTGAGCCCTGCGCGATGAAAATAGCTCATCCAATTCATGCGGCTCCAACAAATTAAATTGGGGCATTTGAACGCACATGTTCAAATGACGGCCCAGTTCTTGATGACTTGACTAGCCAATCACGAAATAAAACTGAACAGTCTGAGAAAACGACGATAAAATTACGACATTTGAATTTTTGTTCAAACACCACTGCGCGAGCAACTTACTATTGACCGTTGACATGACAACCGCTTCTCACCTTCAGAAAGGTCAGTAACCTGACACTGAAAGGTCAGTAAACGGGTGCCGGGCAATAGTAAAAAATATATCATCCCAAATTAACACAGGAGCCATGTAATAAAAACAATAAATGGGAGACGACACCACCAATCGGCCCCACAGTGACCGGCACAGTTTCTCTGTGACATTTCACACACAGAAAACGGTAGCCTGAATAGGCAAGCTAGCCAATTAGCACATTGTCAAGCGGTGTTCAACGCAATGCCAGCCGTTGGTCTCAAGCATGAACGGGGCATGCTTAGTACCGTCTGTTATGGTGATAGAAGTCAGACATAAATCACAACAAAAAGGGACCTTCCTTCCGGTGGACAATCGCCAAAGCTGATGAGCAAGGTTGCAATAATAAATTACTTCTGCTGCAGAGATAAGTGGGGTTAGTTAGTGACGCCGAGGACACATGAATATGCTAGATTGAATTTTATCGCTCCATTCCATATTCATGAAATGACACTACAAATCAATAAAGGTTCTTCAGCCTGTTGCAGTATTACTTGTACAAAAATTTCAGCAAAAATAACGTCATATATGAACTATGAAATAAAATAAAATAAAAGAGGCGCCCCATCAAAAGCCAGACCAACAACAGGACTTCCGACTGTCCTTCACATTCACGATGTCACAGCCGTCCTCCCATCCCTACGTCCTCTGCGGCACCTAGCCTTCTCGCTCAAAAATCATGTCCGACACCCAAGTCTGGTCATGGCCGTGTCAGATTTGTGTACAAGTCAATTCGCGACCTCGCATAGTCGAGTCGGAACAGGGACTAAGTCACGCTGTACATCAAATTCGAACGCTCGTGCCTAAGAGACCCGGTCATAGCATGTTGCCTGCCATGTGTGACAGCCATGCAACTACATCAGGCGGCAAACACTGCCGTGTCCCGAACCGAAGGTTCTATCGCCTTAGAGGCGACTCATACAATGCAAAACAAAGTTTAAGTCAGGGGCACTTGTCTATAACATCAAATGCTAGTCACTTCATCATACCAAGCAGCAGTAAACTACCCCGTCACCTAGCGTTACGCAGTGGCTTCCCCATCCCGTGACACGTCACGTCACGTCTAGCCTATCCGTCACGCTGCCCACCACGCCGTCAGCACCACGGACCAGCAGGGGGACCATGGGGTCCGCAGTGACCCCGCTTGGTCCCAATCCGCGTCACCTCTGACCTCGCAAGGACGTCTCCTTCTCGTACTGGGGCCTCCGTGGCGCTGGCCGCTGGGACTGCAGCGCAGGGACGTGGTAGGCACGGGTAGGATTTCAGGGTAGCAGGGAAGCTGAAACCGCAGGGATCGGAGCGGCTGTAGAGGGCGGTAGAAAATAAATATGTAATACCCCTTTTACAACCCACTTCATAGCGATTATAAAGTTGGAGAGCTTGGGTTAATTGAGCAACGGTTTGATACATCGGTGCCCAGAAATGCCTTCAGCTCCGGTGACATACGACGACGCATGAAGCCCCTCTGACCGTCGAAGGACGTTGGTTCCAGAGATAAGAAGGAGCTGCCCACCTCATGACTCGGACCAACGCTTGCATCAGATGAGAGAAACCTCCATCATTGCCACCCCAGGAAGGAACTTGATCGTTTGGACCCGGGCCCGGGTCCAAATTGAATTGTGCATGGTGTTCTCGGCCACGTCATCAGGCAAACCACGAGGAAGCACCGACGTCCTCAGGCTCCATCCCGGTCATTGAGACCAAGTATGAGGAACCAATGTGACGGACGCTGTACCGTCCTGGTCGATAGCGCCAGAGAACAGTGCCAAGATCCGGAGCCCCTCGGCCGACAAGGTCGAGTTGTTCAATGATTCAGCACTTAGTGATGATGTTGTCTGTCCGACACATTTTTCGCTGGGGTGCACCGAGAGGTACACATATCAGGTGTGTAAATGACGTGCAAATCGAAGAACCCGGCAGTGAAAAAACTTCGTCAAAAACAAAGTCCTGCATTTACCTTACATCAATATTCTCAGATAGTATTTCACATCGTGTAGATTCTGCACTTCCTTAGAAACCCCGGTGCCGGGGTAGCAGACATTCTGCAGCTATGGTCGGAATGTTCCATCTGGAACTGAGCATTCATGCTCATATGACTCACAAAATGACGAGTCCCTGCGCGCAGCGTCACATGCGCACTACGCCGTGTACCCTTTTCCCTGCCCTTCACACATGCGTTCTGCGTGCACGTGCAACCGGACGTGCGTGAACCTCAAATCCATGGGTGGACCCAGGTAAGAGATTTCACCTCGGACGCTTCGCATCCCATAATCCCTTCACGTAACGCATGCGATCTAGCCCAGCTCAACCCGTCTTCAACCATCCGAACAAGTCCATATCTGTTACGTGCTCGCTAAACGATCGAGTCAACGTCCTACAAACCATACAACGCCCGATTTCCTGCGCTATCTGACATTTGAACCGTTCCAAACGGCAGCCCGCCAGGTGTTTTTCGATAGCATTATGCAGTGAGCAGGCGTTCACTCAAGGATTATACCTCGTGGGTCGAAATCAAGAGTGACAGCTGAAGAGATGCGAGTGATGCACACACGCACGTAGCAACAACTATGCTTATGTAAAGCGAATCAGGTGGTTTGCGCATAAATCGTGTAGCTACATGCCAAAGAAAAACTGATGCAAGGAGGTTCACTGGTAAAACAAGTTCTACACAAGCTCCTAGCGGTTTTCTAGGGATCACTGTTGCATATATGGAAACCGCAAAGCATCGATTACGTCTGGCAAATAGCCAAACGCCAGTAAACGTCAAAACATGACTGCACAGCAATACACAACGTCACTGTTTTAGTCGACGAGCTGACGTCGCAGGGAGACAAAGTGACGCGTTTTGGACCAAACGTCCGGAGACAAGTCTCATGGACATGAACGGAAGAGAGCTGACCTCTGGGAACGCAGCTTGTGACCCACTGACCAAGACAGGAGTCTGGTCGGTAGTCACTACTGTCATATAGTCTCGACAGGAACATACCACGGTAACCCTGACCACTCTTGACCCCACTGACACTCGAGTGACACCCGAGTGACATACCGGTGACACCTGTCCTGTTCCATGTCTTTCGGACTCCTGTGGGCACCAAGGTTAGTTATCCCTGCCATGTCCGGATCCCATAAACCTGCCCCGAGGCGAGGCATAGCCTCCACACTCCACAGGACCAACAAACCCTTCCCAAGCCACAGCAGACACCCTGGCGGCAGGCTCACTCATCCATAGATCGCAGTCATAGTGTGGGCTTACGCCGGGGCCGTGAAATCGGCAGCCAAAGCCACAGAGAGCCAGTAGGGAGGACAGATCCCAGGTCACGCCAACTGAGGGGGTGACCGTCCCGTCTCAGCAGACGTAAGTCTGTTTACCGGACACCGGCGCCTCAGGCAAGGCCGGCTGGGGGACGGTGCCTGGCTCATCCGTCGTGGAGATCGGCGATGAGCAGTTACTCACGATTTAGGGAGTTGAGGAAGCGGATCGGCATATTAAAAATAGCGTGTTAATCGTAGAATGCGATGCACCGAAGTTCTCATCAGCTGAATGCTGGTCAAAACTTTTTTATCCAACGCTGAAACGGTGCAAAGTCGCAAATCTTTGAAGACATTCCTAGGATCGGTCTATAGAGCCCACCCTATATAAAGTTAAATATCTACCGCATTATCTAGGGATCTTCTCATTGGCCGTTGCCATTAACACATGATCAGACACTACTGGCTTATGCCAGCAGCAGCACTAAGTGCGCGACGCACCCTGTGTGTCTGTCTGGAGGTCACGCCTGTCCTGGTGCCACTGGTGACGCCGTTGGTGACACTAGTGATGGACCGTCCTGCCGGGATGGGACAAAGTACGCCCCCTCCCCGTCCCGCCGAGCCAAAAGCGCCCAGTGACAGCCTTCACCGTCTCAGCGATCTCGTCTCGGATACATCTCCGACATCTCTGCATGCTGTCAAACGTCACATGACCTCCCCACCGAGCGTCACGTGACGTTATGACGTCAGAGGTCCATCAGCGTGTGCCGTCAGTGCGCCAGGTGCGGGGTGTTCGGTCGTGCCGCGCCCATGCGCGCAGACAGCGGCAGCCGGGCGCTGTCACCGGGGCCACCGTCGGCAGCACGGTGACGCTTCTCAGTGCCTCCCGGACAGGCTGCGGGCTGATCTGGGTTGCAAATGGTGCGCGAGCGTCAGTCACCTCCGGGTAGAGGTGGGAGGGGAGGGGAGCGGAGGTCACTGGGGAGAGCTGTCGTGGTGCCAGGAGAGGAGGTATGTGGGACCACCATGAGGGGATATCTCCAGGGGTGGACAGGGGAAAATTTGCAAAGAGATGCTGCAGGCTGCAGGGCGCAGCGCAAGTTCAGCAAAAGACATTCGGAGACTTTTGAGAAACAAACCAATACCCAACAGTGCGCCAAGCTTCTCATTCGGCAGCCGACTAGTTACTAAAACCGATGTGGTCAACAAAACCGGCAAGGCCATTCAAGGACGCCGGCAGGTAGGGAGGCATTCCAATGGACAAGAGACTCGAGGTGTCATCGTATTCGGTGGAAGCGACATGGTCACCAGTTGAGGGCGGCGCCGGAGTACAGGGTCTGCGGCGTCTCGTGGGCGGCTCTCCGACGAAGACATGCGGCCTAAGACATGCGTCCAGGAATTGCGAACGCGGATGGCGCCAGGTAGGCGGCAGGTCAGCTCCTCCAACCCCAGCGCTGACCTCCCTCCCAGTCCCTAGAATAATCTGACAAAGTGGACGCTTCGCGATATGCAGCGGTCGATACACGAGGACATGATCAAGACGTTGACCACAACGGCGACCTGGGGCGACTTGCGGCGACTTGCGGCGACCGCAAACCGCCTCCACGGCGCCAGCAGGGAACGACAAAGGTCAGGTTTACAGCGGACAGACGCCGCGCGAGGACGGGGCGGGCACATCTCCGCCAGGGAGCTCGGCGCAGTGATTAGTTGCCGAGGTCGACGGGCCGTTACACCACGCGGTAAGTGTGCGCTGATGGATAATTAGGTATCCATCTCCTCGCTACGCCAAAACTGATGAGCAGTCGTCTCCTACCGCCGTCTCAGCGAGTTGCGGCGAATAGTGACGCACCGCGGCATGGCGCGGCGCAGCGGGGAGACGGAACGCGAGAGGGCTGCAGTATAATAAGCACGTGCAAAGCAGCTGGCAAGGCCGTGAGGCTGCGATGTTGTGCTGTTGTGACCAGAGCCGCTACGGTACACAGCTTAGCGACAAAGCCAAGCCCGGGCCGGCCCCGGCAGCCAGGTCAGTCTGTCTGCAGGGAACCACAATGGGACACTTTGTCCCGAGGGTTGTCCTAGATGTCACCAAAGCGTGGCGCTGCGGGGCGCGGAAATGCGAATATTACAACCGGGTGTTCATGGCGAGAACACTGCAGTGTGACCTCATGGAAGAAGGAAGGGGTCGCATTTCGAGGTCCACGGCCTTGTCAGCCTCCACGAGCAGATGTTGCTAATGTAAACGAAGAAGATGTGCGACAAGCCTTTGTCAAATTAATATGTTTAAAACTTGACTTCCGCTTTCAGCTCTTAGAGGATTCCTGCCCATCTTGCTATGATATAAGAGAACCAAGTTTGATGAACTCTTTGAATAGGCATTCATAAAAACGCCGCCATCCCATCGACAGAGTGATAAGGATGCATAGCAACTAATGAGTCTCCTCATTGGCATTTTTTACGAACTTATCTGGGAAGGCATTAAGATCCAGTGGAAATAAGCTTCGGACTGCAAACGGCGAGAGCTCTCTAACGATAAGAGTGAGAACATGAGACCATCGCTACCAAAGATCCTTCCTAGTCCAGTCCTGGTCTCAAGAACTCCAAACATCCAATACATTAGCCTAGCTTGCGGTCACACAAGGTACTTTATAATGCAGTGCTTGAGTCTCCGAGCGGACGGCCCCCTTTTTAATTCCCCTTTCCCGACATACTACTCCAAAACCACCACCACAAATAATGATACTTTTCGTTTCTCGGTCATCACCAACCGATCCACCGTCCGCTGTGACCCAGCCCTATGCTCTCACAAAGCAATCCCCGTCACCACGCCTCAACGATCACGAACCGGGTCGCACATCTCTGCTTGCCAGGAGGGCACCCGTTCACCCGTCGAACAAGTTTCAGATGGGATCGTCGACCGCAAGGGTGCGTAAAGCGACGGCCTTGGGTGCATACGGCTACCTGGGGATAAGGTCGTCTCGAAATGACGGGAACAGGTAGAAATATGAGGTGTAACGGTCAGGATTACACCGGAATGTTTCACAGGTCTGCCGGCTGCCGGCATGATTTGTGACTGCAAAGGAATGAAGACGTGCAGATAAAACATTTGGGAGCTAACTGAAAGCTTGAGCACATAATTCATCGACACATTTTGAGAAGTACAAAGAACCCGCTGGTAAAAATGTCATGATGTTCAGACATGTTCTGCATGTAATTTTATCAAACCTGGCTACCAACCACTTGTATCTCTACCATGGTCCAACAACTCCATACGATAATCGGTGTACGGTTTCAGAGACGTCCGCAAAAAAGGATTCAGCTGCTAAACACGCCAGCACTCAGACTTATATGAACATGAACAGCTTATACTGAGCTTTTGACACTACGAAAACAAACAACAAACGAAAGTGATGGCTAACCCAGTTCTAGGAGATGGACGACAAAGACATAGTCGTACCAAGAAGCTGGTTTGAAAGCCACAAGCTTTGTGAGGTTTTCACATCTATCCCAAAACAACCACTCACTACCTGCTGACTACTCACTATGCCTGTTGACTTCTTCAATGAAAAGCGCACCAACAACTAAGCGGCGCTTAAAATGTCTGATCTGTGGAAGCAGGCAACAGCTACTTATGGAACATCGAAGTGATTGGTTAATGAGAAACCAAACACATTCAAAGTATGTCAACGCATCCCAGAACCCCGGATCTTTGGTTCTTTGAAGATGTCAGCGGCCTTGGTGTCAATAAGAATAAGCATATTCCTCCTGTTCACTGTTCCTTTTCATGGCAGTAGGCTATTGCATCATAATGATCTCACAACCAGTGCATGTATACGATATATGTACATTCATAAATACTCCTTACGTAATGAAATGCGGCTTACATCTCCATATGCAACAATGTGCATAACATCAGCTGCTGTGCCATCACCATAAGAACCAAAACAAGTGCTCATTGCACGCGCCGAGCCGAGTAAGATCTTATCATCTCGGCGAGTAAGCTGTAATCGTGCCACCTTTGTTTTGGGGAAGCCAGGGTCAGAGATGACGGCATATTTCTAGCTTCGCATTTTGTCATACACATAACACAGCATTCTCCCGCTATCATAACTTAGGAAAGGATCAGGTTTTCACTCATGACGATGTTCATCGTCATGGTCGGTATTATGGTCCATATTTTAATTTAATGATGAACAGATAATTCTCATAAACTTATTAATTCAATTAGCCTACCTCCAAAACAACATGTTTTAAGAGTAAGTGACTGTAAAGCAACAAGGTATCGCGGATTATGAAACCCCAATAAGGGAGGGTGCCTGCAGGGAGGGGCGATGCGGAGAGGGGAGGGGCGACGCGCGGAAGGGGGATCGTCCTCTGCAAGGTCGCCGGCGGCCGGCCTCTGACCTTGCAGGCCGACGCCACTACATGCCGACAGGACAGGACATTGGGCAATGGCATGCGACTCCTACCCACCCTCCCTGGCCCGCCAGTCCCCGCGACACCGGCCGTTGGCACGTCCGAGGGGTGATTTAACACCCTCAGAAGACCGACCGGTCGGCGCCAACCGGCGTACCCGGGACGTTCTGGGTCGTGCTCAGGTCGTACCCGGTCGTGCACCGGTGATGCTCCGGGATGGCCGTGCAAGGTCGTGCACAGGGCGGGTGCAGATCGTGCACGCGGCTTGCACAGGGCGGGAGAGATTTAGCGTAAGGCATGGCGTCGGTGCGAACGGCTTCCGCATTCAGAGGATCGACGGGGAGGCGCCAGTCGCCGCTAGAGACAGGGATGATTCCGGCGGTCAAAAATCTCTCGAATTACGCGTGCGGGGCTGGCGACATAACCCAAGCCAGCTCAAGTCGGTATGATCTAGCCTGATAGTCTGAGTTTGGGTCACAGTGAGCTGACAGCGTTCACTGCTTGCCATCAAGGTCCCACGCGAGCAGTCTACGCTGGTAAAGTTCGCGAGATGCAGTTGGTTTCCAGTTCCAGTACATGGCTGGCTTTTGTCCAATTTCTTCCCGAGTTTTTCTCATGACCGATAACAGTACTTCAAGTAGTCCAAAAAGTGTTTTCAATCATACTTTACGGAGTAAAACAGCGCCCAAACACCCGTTAACCCCCTGTAGACCCAGATCACCAATGCCTAACACGCCGCGGGTCTGTTTTGCTGTGGATTATCGATTTAGCGGTTTAAGTGGCGCTCCCTGTACCTTTCTCCGACAAAAGCTCCAGGCCTCTGCGCGGCAAGAGCTAAGGTGAAGGTCGCGCCCAGCCTGCCCCTCAATCCCTCCTCCACGGGAAGGGATCGGCCTCTCGCCAGAAGCCAGCAGAGGAGTGGAATGCGTCCGTTATGTGTCGCCCCAATGCAATTAATCGCCTTACAAGTGTCCTCGCATACCACGACGCTGTTCTTCGGCGCGACACAAGACTGGATTAAAATCGCCGGCCGCGTTCCACAAGTGGACAATAATATCGGCGCAGTGGTGCGAGCGGTGGAGCCAGCGGAACACCGCCGGTCAAACGCCGCAAGTACGCAGAGCGGACGGTTCGGCCGGCACATAGCCGCCAAGCTTTAGCCTTGGCCCCCGCTACAACCCTAGCTGGACCAGCCAGGCACCGAGAGCTTGAGTCCAGCCGGAGCAGACGCCGTCAGACGCCAGCATATGACACCCATACTCAAACAGATCGGGCGGAGGCAGATAATGGGGCGATAAATGCTTTTAGCTGATATTCGCAGGTAATAAATAAACCTTTCTTGGAAATATCATAACACAGAAACTCGAGAATGAAGACGGCAAAAGCGTGCAATTTTTCACATAAAAAGAAAGTCACTTTGGGATGAACAAATACAGCAGAAGCATTGTTGACAAAAATGGCAAGTGGTGCACATTTATCTTCCCATTGTCCACCTCCAACCCGTTCCCCTGACCCGGCACGTGCGGTGCGCGGGGACTGACCTCCTTTTTTGAGCACGGTCCGTCCGGTAGAGTCCATGGACTGAATGACCAGGTGGTCCAGCACCATCTTCCGTTTGGCGCGCTCGATGATGTCCTCCTCGATGGACTGCATGGTCACCAGCCGGTAGATGTTGACCTGGCGGGTCAGAGAGAGGTCAGTGAGAGGTCACGGCGGGGTCAAGGTAGGGGAACAGGGGTCAGAATTCAGAAGGGTAGGTTTGAAACAGGATGAGAGTGAAATGCGACGTCGTTTTGAAAGTGGCGTAACATTTCGTCTGCAGTCGTCTTGGTTTTAAATTATGGTGTCACAGGAACGCAATGCCGTATGCCAAGACACTGACGACGAATCGCAGCAGACAAAGCAGTACAGACTAGCTATCAGAACACTCGTCATTAATTGCTGCCTAATTGAGTCCTACTGACGTCGCATACCGAAGACCCAAATTACGTCCAGTGACTTCCAATGTGTGTCTACAAGCTACCAAGGAACGCCACAGGTCACCCCCATCCCCTTCCCAATCCCCGCCTCCCTAATGGTCCTGCTATCGCGCATCACACGAACCCCACAACGTCGCAGAGATCCGGCCCAGCGTATTTGGCCAGAATCGATTATGTAAACGGGCACAGCCTGATACGACGTGCAACGGGACAACAGTCATTTGTAAACCGAGAAAAACGATCGACAACTCTGCTGCGCCGACGAGAGAAGACACTTCGGCCGAAAATGACGTCAGAGAATTATTTGGTCGTGGTACGTAGGAGTCGTGTTTTAGACGTAGAACACAAAATTGATGAAAAATGCTTGGCATCGTAGTTGGAAAGCAACGGTATACGTGCTAAGATTAAAAAAAGATGCAGCGTAGGTTGCCGAGCTCAAATCAGTTGCATTCATGTTCGGAATTTATCGGTCGAGGACATACCGGAAAAATGATTCAGCGGGAGATAGCAAACTTCACCACAAGGGACACACATAAGACAGTATTGCCAATGACGTCAATTAAAGTTTCTTCTCGTGTATTTGTGTATGCGCAGTAATAGTCCGAATGTTTGTCAGGGAACTAACTACACCACTGCTGAGGGGAATCTTCAGTTAGTGCGCTGCGGATATAAATTGTAGAGCATGGAGCGCATCATAAACATCAGCGTTTTGGCAAACGGCGCCAACAAACACACCAGCCCCGTCCAAATAATATGTACTCCCAGTATGTAAATCTCCTTCAAGTGGGTTCCACCGTCGGTTTGTAAGTGCGAAAAACAAAAATATGAACCATACTCAGCAGAATAATCGTAACAAGTGAAAGAGTGCGAATCGATCCGCTCAGATGCCGTGAATATCTCTGCCAAGTTTGACCTAAAGGAAGTTGGCACAACCAATCCCTGTCTCCCATTCCCTACCTGGGGCGTTCCACGACAGATCGACCAAGCCATAACACCCTACCTCTCAGATTTTGATGAAATTGCGTCTAGGGGGTTATCTGTACCGTAGATTCTTAATCTCCTATTTTCAGCGTTATACTACAAACAGTTTACGAGTTATAGCCAGTGACATTTTTCAAAATGCTCAGAGTAACCCTCTTTTTGACTCACATTATATAAAGATATGGCCTGTAACTTACAATAATATGTATATCATTGAAATCCTCATTGACTGAAGAAAAATAATCAATCAAAATATTTTGAAAATTTTCAAAATCTCAACATTTTTTTAATTAATACATTTTTTATTTTTTATTTTCAAAATGTGGCCATTAAATTTTTGCCAAAAAGATAATGCCAAAAGATGCCTCTGAATATTAAAATTAGATGTACAAAAATTTGGAGAGGTGTTTTGCCTTTAACTTTTTATATAATCTTTTATTTACGGCAATATTAACACGCGCAGTGGAAGGGGGATTTCGCTCACCCCTCCTGTTTTTCGCCAATAACTCGCGCCGCAAACATAATATTAATGTGAAATTTTGGCTACCTGTCCAAAATTGAACTGCGGATCTCCTCGTGCAAGAAATAAGAAAATTGGATCACAACTTTTCTAGTGATAGCGGTGTAAAGTCAAACATCCTGCCGCCGCGGCGGCGCGGCGGCCGGCGCTAGCCATTACGCGCCGCCTGAATTGTAGACTGTGCCGGGGCGGGACGGTTCCGTCTTTACATCGCGCTCCTTACCGCTGATTATATTCGATTGGCGTCAAATTTTGTGAGAAGACTGAGAAATGTACAGGCAATCCTATGGTTCAATAATTTTGAAAATCGGTCCGTAACAACTTGAGTTATGAGTGTGTAAACACAAAATTGTGATTGCCGCGTTTCTCGCGTCGGCCGATCCCGCTTCAGCGGGCGACATCTTACCCTTAGCAGGCTTCCAACTGCCATATTTATTGTTGGATTAACTAGAAATTCACCATACATACTCACAAATGTATATTCTCTCGTATAGTGAAAGAAAAAAGAAAATCGACCGGTAACTTTTTGAGTTATCGGCGTGTAAACGCTCATAACAGCCGAGGCTGTGTTAGGGTCAAATGAGGAGAAGGCTCACCCTAGTAATCGCATGAAGTTCGCTCTGTCCATGTAATAATGGGCTTTCAGTGAGTTTGCTTATTGAATATGCCACACACAAAATATATGCAGACAAAAGTGCGGCATTTGGAAGCAATTCATTGCAATTGCCTGGGGCGTGACCAGGTCAGAGAGGGTGCAGGTAACAAAATTACAAGTACCGACGTGAAAACTGGCCGGGATTGTATTCTGTTTTCCTGGAACTGGAAGCATCTCAAACGTTTTGGATTAATGTATTTCAAGGTATTAAGTGGCTTGGGATGCTCCATGTTTCACTAACATTCACTTCCATAGCATTTTTATTTCCACCTGGCCGAAGGTTTGATGTGCAGCCCCAACGGTTTTCTCGAGATCGTTTGCAACACTGTAAGGCTGGAGAGCTGAAATTGACATACCTTCCTACCTACCTGAGCATTGACTTAAGCCGGATTTTTTTTACGCCAACAGAATTTTGAGGCTGAGGTCAGCTTACTGACCTATGACAGCACAAATAAATCTTGGAACGATGCAAAAAGTTGCAGCTTTACAGCGCCCTCAGTGAGCCTTTTGCAGGGGATGAAACTTAAGTAACGGCATATAGTAACGGCTCTTGAGATTTCACATCAATTCCTCCAACTTTCCTAACTTTCACCCGAGGTCAAGCTGGCCACGTGACTTCACTATTACAAGTCAATGGGAAATATTGAAACATTAAAACTATTATTTTGATGCCGGAAACGAACGAAGCCTGTCATCAATTATCAAACACCTGTAATCGTGATTTCATACACTTTGCAGAGGGCGATTCTTCGGGACCTTCCATGACGTCGTATACCTATGCTAGTACTTTGTATGGTCGTTTTAGGTCATCGTTTTTCTTTTTGTCAATAACCTTGATTGGAATTAATCTCGCGAGTCGAATGAGCCACCAGTGCGTGAACTCACGGAACCCTACTGAACCTAATCATATACCTAAAATAGCTGCTTTCACGACAAGTATCTAACACACATTTACTGATAGTTGATGCGATTTGGTCAAATTTGGTTCATAGTTGATTCTTAATTGCTTTAGCTTGGGTTGCACTAGTTGCTTATTGACCTTATTTATCATATTATCAGACGTTCCTTTTAAATCAAACATTTGAACAAAATTACGTTATGAAAATAGCTACAGTAAAACAGATTTGGCTAGATTCGTCTGACATCCGCCATGAAAACGGCTGATACATGGCCTCATTTGACCAGCTCATCTTGACCTCAGCGGTTTTGATGTGACTTCGACCTGAGGAAAACACCTTAAGCTGACCTCTTCCAAATACAGTTATATCATTACGGTCAACTGGTGACCTCTGTGGTCAGGTCAAATGCCCTGAACCAGGGATTAATTTTCTGTCAATAAATCCCCAAATGGTCGCAGCACCGTCATTTCAGTACCTGACACTTATCTGGCACCATCGTGTTTATGATGCTCCGCCGGGTAGAATGGTGTGGTGATATTTTGGAAAGCTCAGCTTAACGTGCTTACTTCAGGTCAAGGTCAGAACGAAGTCGTTCAGGTTACGAATCTGGTCGATTCAGATGATTCTGAGTACCTACATTGATGACCCTTCCCTCAATGCCCTCATTTTGTTTGGAATCAATTGACGAAAAATTATCCCATCAAACAGCCTTAGTGACGTCACAAATGACGTTGCGTTTTTAGGTCGTCACGCAAGGTCCAGGAGCAAAACTGAAACATCGGACCTTGCAAAGAATGCGTGAAGTACATTCTCCTCGTAAATAATTGTTGGCAATGAGGGCGTTTCGCTATTGCGACATTTTTAACATTACATAGACTTACTTATTTGACGTAATAGTTTAGTGAAGTGACCCTATATAAAGTTCGTTTGGTGTCACAAGCTAAATCGAAGATAAGTTATAATAACTTTCAGCGCTCTATCGCCATTGCGTCCCTAGCACGGCTAGCAGTGATGAGAAAACCGTCAGAGGCGGATAGTACTCGCTCCCACGGCCACATGCGGTTTAACCTCGCTCTCTTGAGAACAATACGTCATTATGACGTCTTTGACTATTTGGGACCTAGCTTAGCTTGCGTAGGTGTCCTATGTAAGTCTCTTTAGAAAAAATTAACAGAGTTGCAATGAGCTCTCGATCACATTTGACCGTTCTCAGTTCGGACCAGTTGACAGTTATTGTTATTGTTTCCACTGTACGACGAAATTCAATGTTGTATAGCGACCTTAAGAGGAAAAACACCTTTTTAATATTTTCATCATTCAATGGCAATGCGTTGAGAAGACTTTTACTGCAAAAATAAATTGCAAAAAAAGATGGCCACATTCTCAAAATTTGATTTTTACAAATAAATTATATGTAAAAAAATTAAAAATCGAAAAATTTCCAAAATAATTGATATCACAAAAATCTTTGTTTAATTCCAATTGTGGGGATATGCAGTTTTATATAAATCTTATGAGTATTTAGCGAAATATCCGCGGATGAAATTTATAGTTTTTATGCTAGTCATTAAGTTGCCTGGGGCAATATCTCCCAAAGTATTCGACGGATGTGATTGAAAATGTCACAAAACGAATCGCCGGGC